CGGCGACGGGGAGGAGGAAAAATGAAACAGTTCACTGCCCTTAGAGCGGCGAATGGGTTCGGGCGCGGGAGGGCGCGGGTGGGGGAGCGGGGCGATGAGGAGAAGGTTATTGGGTACTGGGAGCACGGGTTGTAAGTGAGGAAGACACAGAAAAGACTCACTTGAGTGAGCCAGTCGACGCAGGCGTGCAATTCGACGAAGCCTCCAACCAAGAATTACAAAGCCTCAAGCTGAGTAGCACCAATGCACGTCGAAGTTCTCGAGGTGCGACGCACCAAGCTCATAAAGCACGTAAGGAGAGAGAGGGAGAGGGGCACCAATTCGTGTTTGCACTCAACGCACGTATCACGAAGCACCAACTTCACCTAGCAAGAAGCACGAAGCACCAAGTTCACGTGGCAGCACCAATTTCACGTGGTTGCACCAAGTTCACGTGGTTGCACCAAGTTCACGTGGCACGTAGCAGAGAGAAGAGAGGGTTGCACTAATTGGTTACACGTGGCTCGTAAACAGGACAGCGCGCCAAAGCGCTTAAAACCGAGAGAGAAAGAGAGGAGTTGGACAAATTCGAAGCACGGAGCTCGTCGAATCTTGCACACGTTATTTCGTTGACACTTGCCGTCGCACGTACCTCGTACAATCTTGATTTATTTATGCGTGTCATGCTTGCTGAGGGACCATTTTGCTAATTACCCTTCTCTGTATCGTTCCAATTTTAACGGATGTCCCGAAGGACAGCTCGTAGAATCGCTACCTTCCTGCCCTGCCTTTTTTTTTTTTTTTTTTTGAAAAGGGCGGGGGCGACGGCGTTGAGATATCATCATTGAGCTGACCGGCCCCAGGCAATTCAGGCAATTCAGAAATATCTGGTGTCATTAATATAGATAGAACCATCAGCTGGACTCGAACTCTGGTCTGATTCATATTTCAACAGTTCATGGGTAGGCTCTTGGGTTGCCCCCTGTTTTTTACCGTAGCCCCAGCCTCGCGTCTTCGCTCACCCCCTCTGGAACCGGTTTCCAACCCAGGGGTCATTTCTTTACCCCCCCCCCGACCCCTTGCTAATTAACCCGACCGGAGCCCAGTTTCTTTTCCCCACGCGAACCTACGAGCATGCCAATGGCACGTGCCCTCGGCAAAAGCCATGCCAAGAACACACGCCTTGCCGCCCGGCCATGCCAAGACCACGTGGATCCCGCCTGTGAACCCATGGTGGAAACACGCTGAAGCTAAGGAAACCGCTAACATAAAAAAAAAAAAAAAAA